TACGTTCTTTTTGTTCTTCCTTCTTCTCGTCTTCTTCGTCGCGTGTGTGTGTGTGTGTGTGTGTGTGTGTGTGTGGATCGTGGGATTGAACGGTGTTCCCTTCGTTCAGGAGGTTTTCAACGACACGAAGATCACGATAACCGGATTGAACGCGGTCACCACTTATCGATTCCAAGTGTTCGCCGAGAACGGTGTCTCGGCGTTGGCCGGCAAGTCGGAATACGTGGACATTACCGTGACCACGGATGCAAGCGTGCCCAGTTTGGTGAGCAACGTGAGGATCACGAGCGTGAAGAGTTCCGAATTGAGCATCAGTTGGGACGCGCCGATAACCGAAGGCGGGGACAGTGATCTGGTTGAAAGATACGAAGGTAAAAATCGAACGCGAATTCCCCATCCCTCGAATTCTCGATCGATACGATACTTTCCAGTGAGGTGTTATCCGCGTTACGACGACGCGACCAACGCCACCGTCATCCAGACCTCGGAATTGTCGGCGACGTTCAAGGGCCTGAAACCGTCCACGGACTACGCGATACAAGTTCGAGCGAAAACTACGCGAGGTTGGGGCGAGTACACGCCCGTCGTTTACAAGAAGACGCCTCACGCTATGGGATTAGGTAGGCGTGTTACAAAAATCGGGGAAAAATCGTTGAACGATCCATCCATTGTTGCGCTATTGAACAATTCTTCTATCTCCTATTTCCTAGATTACGTCGGGGAGGACGACAATATGCAAGTGAGGATCATAGCTGGAGCTATAGTTGCTGTGGTGGTTCTTCTCGTCATCATCATCATCATGACCGTTTTGATTTTGAGAAGGTAAACGAATCGCGCGGAGATTAAAGACACGAAATGTGTTAACTATATATATTTATATATATATATATATATATTCTTTTATACGTGTCACAATCCGTTTGATCCGACTTTATTGATGTGGTATGATTTCGATGCAGCAGGGCCTCGGACGAATGCAACAAGAAACAGCCGAGCGATTGCGACACTTTGGAGTATAGAAACGGCGAAGGTACGTTTGCCGATTCGGCTTCCATTCTCTCTTTTTTTTTTTTTTTTTCTTTCTTACGTATATAAATTCATTATCGCTATTATTATTATTATTATTATTATTATTATTATTATTATTATTACTTATACTTATTATTATTACTACTACTAACCCCGCCCGCCCCCCCCCCCATCTGTCACTTTCATAGTTGTTTCACTACTAAGCCCTCGTGTCTTGCGACTAATATTTTTCGATCACCAAACCCCGCCTCGCCCCCCCACCCCCCTCATCAGTTAGATCCAAGTGCAAGTGAGCCGCCCCCTTCATGTATACAGTATATACCCCGATACGATATAATGTCTTGTTTTATGCCAAATACCTGTATAGTAGACTTTAGAGATCTCTTTGCAAGTCTCTATGCAAGAAAGAAAGATTAGATGAAAAGGAAAAGGAAAAGTTTCGTTCGCGGGACGAAAGTTACGGACGATCGATTTCAGGGCGGGAAAAAAGAAAAAGAAAAAAAAAAAAAAGAATGAGAGACGATGATGATTTCTCGTTGCGAAAATTCAATATAGTCAGATCTGGCCCACTAGTCAAACTGTCATATATTTGTTCTAACCAAATTCTTTCGATTCTTTCTTTTCATGTGCGATTCCCCTAATCTATCGAACCTGCCTCCATGAAAAATCCATGAAAAAACCCAATGAAAACAATGTACACAATCGCCTGCTACTACAGGACTAGTTGTGACCTACAGTAAGTCTTCTCCAACGCCTCAAAGTTTTTTTTCTAGGAACTCGGTTTTTACGTAGTTAACTTTTTGCACCCCCTTGCAACTTGAAAATGCATCTCTTTGACGCCGTTCCAAATTTTTTTTCGCGCACGAACACGCACCATCCTTCCACACTTTCCACAGTTATTCCTGTCACAGGAACAGGAATTGCGCGTGTCGATCAACATTGTTTTTCCTCAACGCGTATGGAGGATAGTACACGCGCGAAAGATGTGCGTGCACGTGCTTTTGTTGCTTGCGTACGTACGGTTGTTGTCATTACATGTTCTGCATGCTGTATGTTGTTAGTGTGTTATCATTGCATTTCTTATTTTTTTTTTTTTGTTTTTTGTTTTTTCCTCGTCCTGTTGTTTTGTTTTGTTTTGTTTTGTTTTGTTTTTCACACCAACGCTGAATCAACGCGAATAAGACGAGAATAAAAGCAATCACAGAAGAAACGGAAACGCATTTCCCTTCCCCCCTCCCCCCCCTCTTTTTTTCTTTTTTCTTCTTTTCCTTCGATCATTCAATAATTTCAATAATTTCGTCGTTTTCGCGGCTCCGCTCGTTTCGCGCGTCATTAAAATTAAATTCATCGAACATCACACCGCTTCTATTTTTTTGTTTGCTGTTTGTTCAATTAGTTGTGTTGGTTGTTGTGTTGTTCACAGTGCACTGCAAAATGGACAGTTCACCGATTGTGACAACCCACACCAACAACAAGAGCAAGTCCTCGCGTAAGTCCCAATAAAACTTGTTCGAGAAAAACCGGTCGAAAAACGCGCGAACGACGCTCTTGATCCATCCTTGAATACACTTGAATACACTCGTTCAAAAATTGCTACACGACACACGATTGCCCTTATTTTTTTATTTTCGCTCGCACCACGATCCGTTTCTTCCTCTCTCTCTCTCTCTCTCTCTTTCTCTCCCTCTCTTCTTATCTCTTTCTCTTCCTACGTATCTTAAATTTCCCTTAAATTTTTTTTTCAACTTGGTAGATGAGAGACGCACGAAAAAAAAAAAAAAGAGAAAGAAAAAGAAACGCATGAAACTTCTTTATTCTCGTTGCGCATCCCTCTTCGAATTCGTTCCATTTTTTTTTTTTTTTTCAGCCGCCCACCGATTTTCCTGCCCCCCAATAACAACGTTTCCTCTGTAACAACGTTCCTCTGTACTCTGTCGAAGCGCGGCGGCGAAATGTACCGGATGTTTCGGTGGAACTCGAATTAATTTGGCTCTTGGAGAGAGAGAGAGAGAGAGAGAGAGAGAGAGAGAGAGAGAGAGAGAGAGAGAGAGAGAGAGAGAGAGAGAGAGAGAG